CATATTGAGACACAGAAAATATCATCACCATGACCAAATTTAATCAAAATTCCTCTGTCGCTCTCAACTTTTATATAAAGTCCAATGTGAATTTGTTGTTTGTAGTGTAAAATAAAATTTTGAGAATGAGAGTAAACAAATAATATCGATTTAACGGTTATGAGGTTAAGACCGTGTGACTCGTCACATTAGTCAATACAATGTTGCTACTAATAAGAGTCAAAACGAGGCAATAGTTTATGGGGGCAGTGTCACGACCGGCTAGTGTTCGAGCTGAGCAAATATTTAAATATAAGTCTTTAACTTGTGCATCTTTTAAAAGTGGAATATGTAATTTTATACATGAAAAAGGTAGGTATATGTATATTTAACTAACAAATAAAAAGTACCTTAATAGTACCATTTTCATTTGATTCTCTGTATAACATGCTCATTACCAGAAAGTCCATGAAATGGCCGTGACCGTGATTATCTGTTTAACATTATCTTTATATAGCGCGCTGATTTTTGTGAAACCCCATAACCTCGAAGTGTTAGTTATTAAGCATTATGAGATTTATAATATATATTATTATAAGTAAAAAATTTCATCGCTTGTAACATATTTAAGGTAACTTTTATTTTTTTGTTATCATTTTTTTTTTACTCCATCTAGCTTAAAACCTTATCCTATTAGAACTCGAATAGTAAATTGAGTGATGAACTAAAATTCTGCTGCTATTTTTTTCAATAGAACAAAATTTCTATAAAACTAATTTAATCTTTTTAAATGGTCCAGGACAAAGTCTATGGATAATTTTTTAATTTGCCATTGTATCTATTGTATCATTTTTATTTTCTTGCTTCACGTAGCGCATTTCCAGATCATCGTAAAAAGTGGGATTAAATACAAATTCGATGTCCATGATTATAAATTTAAGAGTAGTTTATAAAAACTGCTGAAATCTCTTTATTATGTATGTGGATTGCTGGCAGTACTTAAGTACTGTACTTAGTGGTCTATACAAATTGTGGGGTTCATATACCATCTAGTATATGTCGGAAATGAAGTTCAACATGAATAGTAAATACAATGAACTTTCAATTTAATATTTCCATTTAAATTTTGAGCATATTTTTAAAACCGCCATTAAATAAATGTAAAATATATTCTTAGCTGATTTAAATCGGTTAAATATGAGTCCTATATGAAAGTAATTTTATACTATTCTCACTGCTGAGATAGTACAGTGGCTTGACTCAGTAAAACCGTTATGAAAACTTCTGGGTTCCAAATTCATCTGTTTTCTTTTAGCTTTAAAAAGATTTTTGTGTTTAAATAAGTATAGTTTCTGAATAAAATTAAATTTGTGGATATTAGTTAGCATCCAACGATAACCGTGAGTCTCGTTTTGCTAATCAATTATTTTTCTGTGTGAAAATTAATTATATAAAAATCATTAGTTAATATCATTAAAATTAACTTCATATGAATAAGTCAAGTAACTTAAAAATTGTATACAATCACAAATTCTTTGCCGCACAATACTTTGAATGAACTAAATGACAAGTGGACGCATGAGTGATATTAATGGATGCTTGTAGCATTACTTAGTTGTTGGAATCTTTTGTACCAGAACAAATTGATGACATTCACTGAACTGTTGACATATTATTATTACATAGCATTATTTTTCAGGATATATTTCTGAAGATATATTCAGAGAATTTCTTACTGTCACTTTTTAGTTACATGTATTATACAAGTTTAAATATTACTTATTTCAGTAACATTGAATGTTAATAAATTTAAGTAAGTAATTGGAATTAAATTGTTGGCGTATATATATATTTTGTATTTAAAAACATTTACGTATATTTAAACAATGAATTCGAAGTTTTGTGTTTCATCTTAATTTTAAGGTCAATTAAGATGAAAGATACTAATTTCTACAAAAAAAGGTTGAAGAGTAATGAATCACAAAAATAAAAATTTGTTTTTAATATTAATCGTTAGTCGTGTTTTGCAATATTTATTGATTTTATTAGTCCAGGTTAAGTGGCAGCTTAAAAACAGCGAGTTCGTCAAATTAAAAGTCGATGAAGTTCTAGTATTTCCCTAGACTAATGTTTAAGTGGTACTTATTTCCAGTACTCACCTTCTTCGAAAGGATTTCCTTCATATAGTGGTCTCTATTAACGCATTTCATGCGGTTTCTCTCCTCTTTATAGTTGTTTTAAAATCAAAACCAGAATGAAAGAAGTTTCTCGTCATAATTTTTTATGACGAAAGTAGTTACCTTCAGTAGGTACAAGCTTCCTATGTTATTTTACGTAGCAATCATCGCCATGGAAAGGCTTAATACTAGAATACTCAAAAACACAACGTCTTAATACAAAGCGTCAAGCGACGCCCCATTGGAATAGCCTTCCTTATTCCGCCGGTACCAATAAAGATAGTGCGTTAGCCAAATCTTCCATCTTGGTTAGATGCGAAATCCATCTAAAATTTCTCCTACAATGTGGGCTGTAGCACCCGGTGGTGAATACGCAACTCCACGCTGAATGCATGATAAAACAAATACCTGATCACTCTTCCCGCGTAGGTTTGGGTATTAACCACAGTCACTACGAATCCGACCTCATATGGTCAGAACAGCAGAAGCTGCGAGCCTTTCTGACCGCCCGTAGTACCAGAATGTCACCTCTGGTCAGGCGTCGCAAGTGAAAACTATACTCGCTACCACTTACACTCCATAATACAAGTGCCGGATTGGCTCTGGCATTTTAGTCCCCTCTTACGACCGGCAATGCTAACCGCGGAAGAATTCTGTCCCCATATTCCGCAGGGAACTTCAGTAGGTAGAGGTACTATAGAATAAGGAGTCATTATTTATGTTACAAATGTTAAAAATGTTTATTTACTTCAAGTTTTTGAATAGTAAACTCGTCAGGTTAAGAATAGGGAATTCGTCAAATTAGATGTGAATGAAATCCTAGTATTTCACTAGATGAACGTTAAATTTCACTACTTCCAAAATGATTTTCCTTAAGCTGTTGGGGTCTGCTAACGCTTTTCAAATGACTTATCTGATATAACCCTAATTTTTTTTCTATCTTTTTTGCATCTTTTTCAAAATCAGAATCTATATATAAAGGAACATAAAAATTTAAAATGCGCCAGGATTTTAAATTATTCGGCTTAATTCTTTATGGCGAAAGTAGTCACTTCCAGTAGACACACTGATACTGTAGTATCAGAAGACATTATTTATTTTACAAACTTTAAAAATGCTTATAACCTTTCATAGCAATTTTTCAAACATTATTGAAAGCGTATCTCAATTTTGATAGGAAAGAATAGTCACTTCGTCCCATAAGAAACAATCAGTATTGATTAGATCAGTCTGCAGATAGAGAATATTTGCAAAGATTTCAAGGCATTTCTTTTGAATAAGATTCATTTTCGCTTGGTATATAAAGTACGTGGCTAATCTGATATTTAGAAACACACATTACTGATTAGATCATACTGTAAACAGAAAATATTAGTGTTTAAATGTTGACATTCATATTTAAAACACTCCAATTTTTGCAAGAATATGAAGTACATAAGCCTCCCGATATTTAGGATGTAGGTATACAATATTGATTAGATCAATCAGTAGAAGGACAATATTTGTAATTATTCAAAAACTATTCACATTACTATTCAAATTATTCAAAAACAAAAGTTCAAATTACAATGTATGTGGTTTCCTAGACTACCATTTAGGATTTGTTTTCCACTTCAATGAAGTTTTCATTGTTAAATTAACTTCATACCTACCATATACTAACTTTTTTAAAATTAATCTTGTGTCTCAAACTAATTTATTCCACTACACACGTAGTCGGTTATGTGGAATGGGTCAAGCATGTCCAGTATAAAATTAGGCGCTTGGATTTAAATAAATGAAGTGCAAATTATAAGGAATAACAAGCATGAATGCTCAATAATATATGAATACATACGAGTAATTCATTTTCTGTCTATATTTATTAAAATAACTGATCAAAATCTTAAATCAATTTTTTTTTAATTTTTTGAAACCCGACTGCCATTTTTAAAATTTTTTTTTAAATACTTTTAAATTCAACTCTTTAATATATTAAACCAATTACGAATAGTTGTCGTTTATCCAATAAAAAATACATGAATTGCGTTTAAAATTTTGTATATTTCATACAGTTGAAGTTAAACTGCACTGCCACAGGTAAATTTCAGAAAATATTTGGTAGATAAATAAAGCAGTACTGCAATGGACAATTACCTGTGGTCAGTGATGTTCAGTTTCAAATATGTTGCATTTTATTTCATTTAATTAATGTCCTTTCACAACACAAAGTGCTGCAAAAAATTGGTTTCGGGCATAATTCCATTATTTCGTAGTATTCAGTGGTGCATTTTTGAATTGAAACAAATTGAATTCACAAAATAAAATAATTACCATGAGAAAGGAGCACAAAAGCGATATTTCAGTATCCAAGCTCTATTATTTAATTATTCAAAATAAATAAAATGTGAAATGGAAAAGCCATTTTAAAGTGAATTTCATTGAAAATTAAAATTAAGTGTAAAAATCAGATCTTATAAATTTTAAATTATAATATAACAGAAAATTTAATAACATTTTATTAAAGTATTTATTATTAATTATTTTGAGAGAAAAAAAAAATTTTTTTTATATTTGTAACGAGTAATGTTAACCTTCTCGTTTTCGGACAATAAAATAAAAAAAAAGCAATAAAAGAAATTGCAATTAAAAATGCAATAAAACTACTACTAAATAATATAACTTAGGATTTCTCGTTGAACTCGCTTACATATTTTTATGTATTTCCAATTGTAGGATGTAAAGAAAAAATTTAATATTGTGAAATATTTCTTGTTAACACTGAAAAGTAATAAAAGTGCACAACAGTTTTAAAATAATTTCAAAAATTTAAATTGAATTCCCTATTGTTGTCTTTTATTTCAGTTGTTGCCGTTAGCAATGCCACAGGTTTGCAGGGCGGAATAGCAACTGCAACTTCAACCGCAACAGCAACAGCAACAATTGCAAGTGCAGCATCAGCGCAGGCATTGAAAAATGTTTCAGTTGCTGCGAGTATAACAACATCAATTAATGCAACATTAGCCACAAACACTTCAACAGCAAAATCAAGTGAAACTGCAATAATACAAGCGGCTTCACTAACAAGTGTAATAACATCATCAGCTACAGCAGCAATTACATTAAATGACACAACATCAGTTGAAGTGTCTGCAATAAGTTTGTCATCCGCCGAGATAGCAGATGCAGATGCAGATGCAAACACTAATGCGACAAATTTATCACATAAACATGCAAATAATTCACTTGATGATGATGAAGAGGAGGATGACTTGCACCTATCATCGGATTCATTAACGAAAGGATTCTCTATTCCCACATTTTTACCACCATTTCCTGAATTTGCGGTGGCAGATTTGCCAAACTATATAACCACAACGTTACCACCGACAATTGCAGATAATGATATATTTCAGGGGGAAGATCAAATTTATTTGGATGCTTATACTAAACAATTGTCAAGGCGCAATTTAACAAGACACTCGACAAATATTACAGTACAAATGGGTAATCACGCCTATCTACCATGCAATGTAAGTAGAATTTAGTATTTTTATTTTAATTGCTTAGCTACAGAATGATAATATTGCACCATCTCTTGATTTTACATTTAATTAATGATTTAATGATACAAAATTACAGCTTTCATAGTGTTTAAATAGGGTTGTGTGGAAACCATTTTGCCAAATTTGAAAGTTTTTTTTGTAAATTTATAGTTTCTGTTCGGGTAATTGAAGAAGTTAGACTCATAAGTCCTAAAATGGGCTTGCAGATTAGAGATGTTTTAGATTAGAGATAATTACAATACTGATTATCAATATCATCATTTTCTAATGTTTGAATTATGAATCTATTAATTGGTTTTTTGTGTACACAAAAATTATAAATATTATAAATAAATCCACAAATGCTTCTTCAAATTAGTAGAAAAGAATTTAAGCTGAATGTAAAATTCTACATATATCATATGTGTATTTTGTATAATCAGTAAATTAATTTTTTATTGTTAGTAACAGGAAAGTACTCTAATCAAAATAATCGTTAAAATATATGAAAACAATTTTTAAATACTAATAAATGCAACAAATTGTGCGGAAAACATAAATCTGTTAAACCATTAATGCTAATGGAATGACAACCACGTTAACTTCATTTTTATGTGCAATCATATATTTAAAGTGATTAATTGGATTAGGTATATTAGTCTATATTGCTAATACAATTAATTTTATTTCACCCATATGCATCTAGTTAAATAAAAAAAAATCCTAGTTTAAAATCAACAATGATCTCTTCTTTGAAATAGTTGAGGAAATATAGCTCTCTCTACATTATCATAGATTATAAAGTGTGCTAAGTGGTACTTATGCCTTATCTGTATAACTATACTAGAAATTTATAAAATGTTTTATATGTCATATTATAACATGCATAGACCGATAATGTCTATAGAATACATAGTTTGGAAGTTAAGAAAAACAAATATAAGTACTTTTACTAAGTTCGGGTTTTAAGACAATTACGGAACTACTTAGCAAATATGTCGTTTAACAAATAAAATACTACATCACTTCAATCACGTTGAGTACTAATCTGCAGTGCCTTTCGGTATAGAGCAACCTTTTGTTAACGTATGGCATTAAGTACTTTGTTAAGATGCCTACGACATATTAGTTTTCATTCTTCATTTAGTGTCAGAATCTTATTTGGATTTGAAAATCTTGGATTTCAGAGTAAAACCGATTTTATTTATTTCCGTCAGTTTAATTATAAATGCTGATATTCTACATGGCAGCATCCTTGGTTTATTTTTGTTGGTGCTCTTTAAGTTAGACATTCGTATAAATAATAATCTAATCATCTTCACTTTTGCCGATAACACAGCAAATTATACTATGTAGGAATCAAGTGATACAGATGGTTAGCATAGTGTAAGCTCACAGAATTGAAAACAGTTCAAATGACACATCAAGCTTCTACATAGCTCTATTCAGTGTATAATGTTCTATTATATAGAAATATATTGAATCAATTTGGATATACTTTATCTAAATTTAACTATATTGCATCTGATTATATAGTATACTACACAATCTATATTGGAAGTGCATCAAATTCTGAAATTCGGTAATTATAAAGGTAATTATAAAAAGACCGTGCCACAGTAAATATCGAGAAATCGATAAAAATATTTAAGAACTTATGGAGTAATCAACATATTTTTTTTCCCAAATCTTTCACGTTTTCTTATATAAGCTACCTTTAATTGTTCTACTGTTCACGATCGAAAAAGTTGGATTAATTAAACCAAGTCCAAGTCCAAGTTTCAACTGCAGAAAATTGCTTAAAATGAAAAATTCCCAACTGAGATATTCTAAAGCAAACTAAATAGTATTTTTGTAAACATAAATTGGGAGAATTTCTTAATTCTTCTTTTCTATTCCCACACTTTTCAAACCTATCTGCATAGCTATAACGTCATGTTAGTGTTAACAACATAGCTATGTTAACGTAGAGTAAATACTGCTGTACAAATTTTATTTACGGCACGAAGTGTGCATACAATGTTCTTTTTACAGTGGGAATAAAACTGAATTTGAATTCATGCTGACAAAAACTGTTTACATTTTGCATTGAATTCACTTATGTGTTTAAATTCGAGATAAAATTTGTTTGTTTTGTGTTAAAAAATTTATCTGAAAATGCTTTTTTCGCTGTGAATGTTTATTTATTAAAAGGATTGTGGAAAAGTGTAAATATTTTGTTTTTTGCGTAATTATTTACTGGCCACAACCTGTACTTAAGCTTGTTTGTCCTATCAAAAGCGAAAGAATTTTTATTTATTTTAAAAGTCTGATTAACAAAGTCTGATTATAAGAGGACATAACTTACTAATCAATCGATGAATCAACGACTTCATAATCAATCAATCGAGGACTTCATAATTTCATTAACTGTTTGCCCTTTATTAAAGTTTTTTGTGTTATTGAATAACCATGTAGGTTTCAGATGTATACTTGAAAACGGTGTTGAAAACTAATCAATCGGCAACAACTCAAGAGTTTTTTTCATTAAATTTGAGTCTGTAAATTTCTATTTTAATTATAAGTAATGTCCAAACTAACTTGTAAATAAACTTCTAGATACCAAGGTCTTACTTAAATTCTATTAAGATTTCATTTGATTGTTAATAGTTCTTAGCGGTGGCAAACATTGCGACCATAGTAAATTCTTTCTACTACAAATAGCATCAACAGAACAAATTCGATTGAATATTTATTAAATTATTGGCATACCAGAAGGCTCTCAACGGAGAAGAGCACTCTTTTGTGTTGCAAATAACACTAACAGCGCAGAAGAAATTTTATCTTTCGAATGAAGGCTAGGATGTTGAAGACTTCTAAATTCCGATAATATATTTGTGTTGACTGCTTTAATATATTCAGTTGCTCTTAATAATATTGTACCATTTGCTAAACTTAGTTTGTCATATCCTGTCACTGTCTGGTTGAGGAAAATCAGTTTTGTAGAAGGAATATTTTTGAGACCCCAGTAATCCTCGAAATTTATATGGCTTTTGTAGCAACAACGAAATCAATATGGTTTTGGATTAAATAAAAATATTTTGAATTTTGTTGTTATTCGGTTTTTCTGAGTAGATAACGACAACTTCCTCTATCTTCCTTTATAATTTGCTGAGTCTTGTATTTCTTTCTCGTGCGCTTTCTGATCGCAGTTATTAATATCTTGTAATTTAATATAAAATTAGGAAATCTCAGTTAGGTCGTTTTATTACTGCAACGTGAAATTTAAATAAATTTTAACTTGTAAATGTTAATGTTAAAGTAAAATTTCCACAACTCGCCTTTCCTTTATATTATTTACTCTACAAGTTACAAGTAAAGTTTCAGTTCGTTAGGTCTCATCACTCATTTTACTAAATCGTTATTTATTAATTTAAAATATGAAAAACTAATATATCTCATGAACACATACGAATTTCCTCCCCTTCATACTTAGAATTTATTAAAGCGATTCATCATACCACCGAAATAATAAAGAACAGAACAATAAAGTCGACCATATGAAGCAATTTATCAGCTTATATCGATGCTTGTTATTGGCTTATGTAAAAATCAAACCTATAAATAAGCATTAAATTATGAATATATAGGATAAGTAATTTTATTTATAATTTAGTATGATTACAAATTTTCTAAACTGTAGTAAAGAAAATACATTTTCCTTTGATTTATGAATGAACTTATCCAAGAAGCACATGAAGAGCGAAAATCGTTTATTTGTTTTAGGCAACCGCAGAAGATAGTAAAATAATCAGAGGAGAAAAACAAATTCGAAAATATATCTACGTACTCAGAAAGATTTACACTTTCGTATAGTGAACTGTATTTTACGAGGTTAATAAATTATTTATAACATTTCGTCGACTACAAATCATGAAAAAGTGTCTTACAGTATTGAGTTTTATGACTTTATATGCAGTAGGCGAATAATATAAAATCTGTAAGAAATATTTTAGATATATGGATAAACATGATATGCAGTAAATTTAGATATTCTGATTGTCTATTTATACAACAAAAATAATATTATATATATGAATATAAAAATTCAAATTAGGATTGAAATGAATACCTTAATACCTGAATACCTAAATAGGTAGCTAGTAATTAGTTCTCATATATTTTCTTCATTATGAATCTCTTTTTGTAGTTACAAGGTAAAAACTATTAAGCGTATTATTTTAATTAATTAATTATTAATCATTTATTTTAACGTATAAATTTAATTCAAATATGAATAAAAAAAAAGTATTCAATTTCCAATCTCTCTGACGCGAATCGTAGTAACATTAGCATGGCTTTCTCTGTATTACGTTCCTAGATTAGGTTCAAGCACAAGAAAGAAATGAACTCATGCAATAAATAATACCTCTATAAAAGAATAGTATTAAAATTTAAAAATTAAAAAATAAAAATATAATTAATTAATTCAATTATTTTCTAAGGCCATTGATGTTGGATATTTGGCAATACTCGAAACAGCTGTAGGTATGGTCTGTCAAAAATTCAATTAATTAAAATAGTATAAAAAATTTTTTTTTTGTTGCAGTTCACTACTCATTAATAATTTATATAAATATAATATATAAATATAAAATATAATGAATATAACATATGCGCCCTAAAACATATATTACTCTAAGAATAAATACAACCGAGAATATTTTTGGCGAAACAGATTTAGTTTATTAAAAATAGTTCTTTTTTGGTTCAACATGTTAAGTCTATAACTATATAGAAGAGTGTTTAAATTCAGATATTTAATAGCTTAACCTTTTAGAATGATGGATGGCTTTAATGCTCAAAAATGTTTTAATCTAATAGGTTAAATTGATTTTTCAAAAATTGTAGAAATTCCAAGATGCCAACCCGTATAAATACAGGCAGCGATTGACCCTACCTAAGGAATTGTAAAAACTGCATATAAGAACTACATATAATTTTAAAAAAATTAAATATACTTTTTATTCTAAGATGATTTAATTAATCTTTTATCAGAAGGTTAAAAAATCTTGCATAAAACACTCATTTTTTACAAATGGTCATTATTAATGGACTCTATAATGTAAATGATTCATTAAGTTTGATTTCATTATTCTTGGGTGATTGCATGTCTACAGAGAATACGTTCGATATTCACCATACCACGACCACCGAAGAAAACCATATATAGATACTTAGAGTTCCTGAGTATTATCCAATTGCAACTGGCAATTTTATTATTTTATCAGTTGAAGTATCCTGGACTGTGAAGTATTTTTCTCCGTCCGGTTTTCTCCTTGTATTGTAGTACTATATCTACTTTAGTGAATCTTATTTGTTAATATGATATAAGATTCCTTATTTAATACTTATTTTGTTTATATACCAGTGCAGGGCCAGCTTTTAGCACAAATTTTGCGATCTAATTCTAAATCCTTCCAGTTTTGTGAGTTCATAACTAAGTCAATACAATGTCCTGTAAGTTTCTAGCTTTGTGTGCTGATAAGTCAATATAATGTTCTGCAAGAATTCATATCAGGATATATACGTTTTTTTTATGTTATTGCATACAACTTTTAAGCTCTTTTAGATTGAAAGTGCTGGTAAACGTGATATAGTGTTGCTAAATGATCGTAGTGAAAGATGTGCTGGGAATTATTTTTCCCCTTTATTTTGCATAAGCGAGTAGACATGACCATATGGTAAGTCTCAAAACTGTGATCCAGAATCTATAGGTTGTAGGCCAGCGACAGAGTTGTGTTAAAAGAGATGTTTTTTTTTTAGAAGATATTTTTTTTGAAAACATTTTGAAATTAATTGCAATTTTATTTTATTAAAGATTTATCTCTTAACCTTTATGAATACGCAACTAGTCCCATTTGATAATTTCGGACAGGTATGTTATATTCAACTTTTCGAGATACTCCAACAATAGTGTTGATAATACCTAACGAAAATTAGGTAATTTTACAGTTTATTAGTTGGGACGTTAAACCATGGTTCTGATAGTTGCGTTTAAGTGTGACTCAAACTTATATATCTATTCAATAAATTTTTCTTTTAGTAGTATAATAGTAGGATGTATAGAAGTAAAGTGTGCTTCATGTTTTCGAAATTGTTTTAAAAAATTCTGGATCATAGTTAACATCTCATATTAAAATATCGCCGAAACTTAAATTATCATTGTAAAATATATCATTGTGCGTTCATTAGAAATAAGAATATTATGGAATAAAAACTATTTATACATATCATATAGATATGAACTAATAAGGAGCTTGGTATTTAAAAAAAATTAGAATTTTGTTGAAATAAATATTTATTAAATTTCTTACTTCAATAGCAAAAACTGGAGTAAAGCATTTTCTGGGCCATTTCAAAAGGTTATTACTTCATACATATGCCCTTGGTTTGCCATGTAGTTGCTCTTTTGCTGTTATCGGATAAACTTGTTTGCATATCTTCAATTTATTTCCATTTACATAACAACATTTACGTTTCGTGCTACTGGAAATTTTTGGAACAGGCCCACATTTATCACAAACAAGTTCAAGCCTGCACCCAAACAAATTTCGGTTATGTCGCCACAAATAAAATGAATAAAATATTTGTTGCCTTTGTTGGCAACGCTGGCAATGCTGGTACTGTTGGCAAAGTTGCCACAGCTCAGCTCGGCGCAGCACAGAACGAACGACTTGCTGTTATGTAGTACTCGTTTTCGATTGTGGTATTCCATTTCATATAAAATCACCTTTCGTTTGATGAAAAGATTTTTATCTTGATTGGATTCCTAAAAATTCTAATTAAGTAAGCAGATATTTATGCTGCTGTCAAGTCAAAAGATGGCACAGAAAATTGTTTTGCTTAATAAATATTATGCTACCAAACACTTTTCGTATAAATGTAAATGAACTCGGCAAATGTCAAATCTCAAAAGTATTTAAGAGTAAAAACAAAAATGAAGAATATTAAGTTGCCGACTGCTCTTGTGGGAAGAAAACTGTTAAGGTCCTTGCACTACAAACACTGATGATAACCTCGAAAATTTGTTTAACAAATTTTGTAGTAGCGCGTCTACTGTATTATCCTTACGCGTACCATAACAGATTTTTTAAGCCGTAAATATTTCCCATTTTCCATCGAGAAAAGAATTTTTAATATGCCAGCATTCAAGGAAAATTGCTTACTCATACTTAGGAGGAGGAAGCGTTGAAACAATAATGATATTAAAATTCAATGTACGCATTTATCATTGTCATCAGCATCAACATAAACGCCAGTAACTACAATAACTTGGAAAATATTCCAGGACGGTACATAGCAATCACAATAGCGAAATTACCACTGAAATGTTAACAATATCGATGGTGCTTAAGAGGAGAAGTATTATCTATCTAAGTTGATGCTATCGCGGCTTGAATCGATTCCACTGATTTGCATAAATGTTATGTTGCGCACCACATTGCGTTTACAATGCTCCACTCCTACCAGCAACCGGCAACCGGCAACCAGGAACCATGAACCACCAACCGCCAATCACCAAACTGTCATAACTCATTCACTTGATGATTATGCGGCATAATTCGAATTCCGTACTATTTTAAATAATTTATCTAGGAAAATTCTTTGAATTTTTTTTCACTCCATTTTGTGTAAGTAACATAAAAATTTATGTGTGTACATTTTCTACTTATTTACGGTGCAAATATCGTCAGCTTCAATGGTGCTATGATTTTATAATAGTCATAATATTTGTTGTTATTCTAATGAAGATTAGAAGTAAATATTTACATTCATCCGAATAAAGTCATTATGTATATTGTGACTGAGCATGTAGCCTCAGGATGCGATTGTTCGCGGACTTTAAATTTTTTTAAAGATTTAATAATTTTAGAAACAGAAATATTTGATTTTTAAATATTAAATATAGAAATTTTTTTAATTCAAATCATAAAATCCATATTGCGTAATTTATTCCATTATTAATTGCAATAAAATCTGAGATTAAAACAATTTAAATTTTTATGAAATTGAATTGCGGACTCATAAAATATATTTTTTGTATGACTTTTACATATAAAATAAATCACGTCAAGAAAGTAAGCATACTTAAAAATTAAAATGAGAGATAAATTTGATATGAAAGTATGGTGTGTTTATAATTTCTCATAAAATTGACTGGAACAAAGAAAGATATGTACTATATAATTAAATGTAGTTGCAGTTATTGAACATTCTTTACATACAAACGTGACGGATTTTGAGAAAAATTTATTTTATTACCTCAGATTTGACAAAAAACCTATCTGAAAGCTCCACAAATACAATTCGACTAAAATTCTTCCTTAAAGCTCTGCTATTAAAATGAAAAAACAGAAGATAAGGAAATACAGATTTCATAGAATATTAAGAATTTGTATTTAGACTAACATTAAAATCGCCAAATATAAAGCTCTTTAAATGGGAGAGATTAACTTTGTTTTAAAAAAAATTGATTGTACATCATTATATTTTAAATAGTTTCAACAATTGCTTATACTGAAGTACTAATACTAATCATTAATTGCAAAAAAAAAATATTTTATACAAATTACGTTTTAATTTTTTTTGTATTTGATTTGGATTTTTCATTAAATTGTAGTAAAAAACCGAAATCTGCAAAATAATGTTATTTAAGAACTATCTTAAAGAAAGGTCTCATTAAAATGTGCTTAGAATCATAACTATAATAGTTTTTTTAAAAGTAGTGAGACATAAGTAAAAAAATGTGATGAATTGCAATAATTTCAAACTGACTTGGCCAGATACCAAGATCGAGCTAGCAAAACTTGTGACGCGCGAACAGTCCATTGATCAGGGAATAACCTGTAAGAAAAGTTAGTTGCCATTTTTAAACAGACATACAAAAGAAGAAAGCAAAAAGTGAAGAAACAACGGGACACTTTCTTTGTAAACACCCAGGTTTGAAAAGACTATGTTATTCTAATATGCAACTTTATATATTAAAGAGCCTAGCGGATATACCAAACACAGATATTTTAAACACAATTTCTCTCATTAACTGTGCAAGGGGTTTAGAACCTAAAATTACATGATCGTATTTGTGATAATAAAACGTAGCCTACGCATTTGTTAGATAAAAAATAAGATCTGCCTACATAAAAAGCTTAAGTAACCTATGTGCAATGCATAACAATACATTCAGCTCTAATTAATTAAAGTTTTACTTATATTAACTGGATTTTAGTATTTAATATTAAAAATTTCTTATTATTTTTGCAAAAAGTTTAATTTACATTTGTATAACTTTGAAGCATGTTTTAAAAAAAATAAATTTATTTTGCAGATACGTCGTATTTCAAATAAACCTGTGTCTTGGGTTCGTGTACGTGATGGACATATACTTACTGTAGATCAAACCACTTTCATAGCCGATCAACGTTTCCAGTCCATTTATAAAGAAGAAGATAACTTCACTTGGTCCTTACAAATAAAATACGTACAACAAAACGATGAAGGCTGGTATGAGTGTCAAGTGGCTGTCGAGTCTAAAATGAGTGCTAAAGTTTATTTAAGCGTTGTTGGTAAGTGAAGTCCAATTTTTTTTATAAAATAATACATTAAGACTGAAAAGTTTTCGGAAATTCTCATTTAAAATTCGCGCGCTGTATATTTTTCGATATTTTAAGTTTATGTAGTTTGGCAGCACTGTCCTTAATTACTATGCCAAAAATGAGCGCGATCTGTCAGACAGTTTGTTTACGGCAGCTGTTGAAACCAGTTCACCTCAGTAGTGCGTTGCGAAATGTCTTCGACGGTCGTACGACCGTCCTGAAAGGCTTTGT